ATGATTGCAAGCTGGATTTGGTAACAATCAATGGCAGGGAGAGGTTGGCCTGGTGCAGTTCAAGGCAGAACTGGAACCTTCAAACCTGGCGACGAATACACTGGTCAGACGAGAGTAGATTTTTACTCCACGTAACTGATGGTCGAGCCCGTGTTTGGAGGCATCGTAACGCAGCTTACACTCCAAGAAACATTGTTCCAACAGTGCCTTTTGGTGGGGGCTCAGTTATGGTATGGGGCTGTGTCTCGCATGATTGCAAGCTGGATTTGGTAACAATCAATGGCAACCTTACTGGCGAAAAGTACACCTGTAGTTGTGCCTCATTTTGACAACCACACGGTAGCGTCAAGACCTTTATTCATGGATGACAACGCAATACCTCATCGCTCTAGGGCAGTAAAGGCTTATTTAGAGAATGAATCCGTCAACACTCTTCCTTGGCCAGCAAGAAGTCCAGATCTCAACCCTATAGAGCATCTGTGGGACCAATTGGGTAGGCGAATACAGGCTTTGGAGCCTCCGCCACAGACGTTGCAACAGTTAGAAGCTCACTTGCACCGAGAATGGCGACAGATAACGCTTCAACAAATCAGACGTCTAACTGGCAGTATGCGGCGCAGGGTTGCAGCAGTCATCCAGGCAAACGGTGGATATACCTGATATTGACTTTTCGATGACTAATTATCAATGTGTGGGTCATGATTGACATTTTGTAATGTGATTTCACAATTCAATAACGTTTTTGAGCTTTCACTGACAATACTTATTAAAGATAATTTTAAGCGTGAAAACCATATTTTGATGTCATGATATGTAAATCAAAAATTGTTATTTTACGGTGATAATCTTGTTTTCTTGTGCCCAATAATGCATAATTTCATTTGATAAACACGTTTAGATTGAATGGTAATTTATAATCAGTCACAAGAACGTCGAATCTGAATCACTTGAACAAAACACGGGGGTGCTTAACTTTTTTCCAGGTGTATATAACACCATATTTCAAATGCTTCCAAGTTTCAGTTTGTTTTAGCAGAGTTGGGTTGCTTGTAAATCATACAGTTTTGTTTCTATTGACTGCAACCGTTATTTACTGACATCATTAAAAAAAAACATTTTTTTTATTTATGGGTTTTGTATAGGGTGTCACAATATAACTTTTTTTTCTGGCAGTGTGTAAAGTTATGGTTAAAAATGGTTGACAGCTCTGTCAGAGGGAGTTCACGTGTCCACCCTGTAGGTTAGAACTGATCAAATTAGAAGTCTTAAATAAGGAAAACAACACATATTTACAAAAATATAAAGTTACTAGTTTTAACGTAACATGTGTGCCATTTTCAAAGGTATACTGTGTGAGAACAGTGACATCTCACGAGTATTATTTCTTGATCCAATTTCTTTATACTTGTTCCATTGAAAAGTGTTTTCCATAATGGATTCAGTTGAAAGCCCATATCATTGTTTATGAATCTGTCTGCATTTTTATAAAACGTTTGATCTGAAAATTAAAAATTTACTAATACTTTCAGCAGAGAACAAAGATATAATTTGTTTTTCTTTAAAATAAGGTAAGACTTAAAAATCATACAAAATATATCAATTCAAACTCCTCTAAGCACTTTATGAATAGTAATATCAAAAATGTTTTCCTAAAAATCAATGTTTACCACCAGGGAAAAAAAGAATTGCTCCAGAGAGATGTCAAACTAGAACTGAAAAAGAGATAACTAAGTAATCGAGTTATGCAGTTCTTTATGCTATCTACTAATGCTATAAAGATGAACAGCTTTATAAGCACAAACAACATAATTTTACAAAAATTATAAAGTGACTTAGCGGATTATAACAGTGATAAAAAAAATCATTTGTTTAAAGAAATGTTTTCAGTATTATCATTTTCAGCTAAAACCACGGTCTGGCATGGCCTGGTGGTTAGGGCACTTGCTCACCATTTCAGCCTTGAGGGCACTATAATGTGCCTGTCAATCCTACTTTTCACTGTTAAAGAGTAACCAAAGCCCATGATTTGGTGGTGGGTGGTGTTTACCAACTGTCTTCCTTCTAGTATATCACTTCTAAATTATAGCCTTTGTATAGCTTTACATGCAATTCAACAAACAAAAATAGAAACCACAATTGTAGCTTTGTATTTACAGGTTTGTTTCAAAACAATCTGCACCCTCATATTGCAACTCTTTTAATAGATTAGGGATCAACAGTACAGTTCATTATTGTTTCTTTCAATTACTAAACACAAAACTCAGAGGCTTGAAACAATTGAGTTTTTATGGGATTATAATACAGTCAGTCAAATGAAGGTTTTTCCCAAAGGGTTGAATGTTATTTATGCTTCACACATAGGTTTTGTTCTTTTGGTTATCATGTATTATGTGTATAATATGCAGTGTTGTAGGTCTCAAGACCACGTTTTGGAAGGTCTTGATGTTTTACAGGTTTGAAAGCGAGACCAATTAAATTTAAAAGTTTTAACTGTATTAGACCAGTCACCTACCCACGATTATTAAGTGCTAAAAATCGATGATACAACAGTTCATACAAGGTGCAGTGTAGCATCAAAGATGTTTTACTAGTAAAACCTCCTTGGTACTACACCTTTGCAATGATTGTTATGGCACCTTCCTTATTTTTGTTAACGTCACCAGCCACTAATCTGTGCTTACAACACATGCTATTCAAAACTAACTGCTACTATACATTGTATTACACAAGGCTTACTACAAGTTTATATGAACTTGATCTTGTGTATGTATTTACATCAAAATGTCCCTGATATTTAACATGTCTAGTAGATCTGCTGTGATCCTGTTTGGCTTTAAAGATCATAAAGAATTTACTGACAGCATTAATGGTTTTAGCTTTATTTGCTGACGACCTTTTTTATTTTTTGTATTCATTCATTATTTTTTCATAGGAGGAGACGTTAAAACAAAGACTGTGGGGTTAATGTGTACAATATTTGCAGTTGAGATGTTAATAAAGTTTGTTTGATACATGTGATTTTTATTCTTCTTGCTTTATTTTTCATTGTGTAATTCAGTACAAGGTGTTGGTCTTGAACATTGAGATCTCGACCACAAAACTGAATAATATACTGCTTGTATGTTGATGTATAAAATAAAATGTGACCATGTATTGAATGACAATGAACTTGTTTGTTTTTCAAAGAGTGGTCCATCTTTCCCATATAGTGTTAGTTAGATGAATAGAAATAAAATGTTGTCATTGATTTATTATTTTTCTCAAGTTTGTAACATAAGTTATTGCTGTTGTAGGTGACTACAGATGAAGTAGAAGAAGTTATTGCAGAGCAGCCTGAAGTTAGTGAAATCCTTACCAACTTGACTGAAGATTTGCTTGGAGGGGACAGTGAAATTGAAGGTGGTGAGGAAGATGAAGGAGACTTGGAGGAATGGTTAATAATAGAAGAAAAGTTCTTCTACTTAGGGCCTGTGCTACGTCTATTTGCCCTTCTACATTCCTTTGTTGCTTTTTGCATGCTGATTGCCTACTACCACTTAAAGGTGAGAATTTCATAGATATTCCAACATTCTCAGTATTTAAAGTTCTAAATATTAAAGATTCAGCTTGATACTATATCCTCTTTGTTGTGCATCTCCTTAGTAAAAAAAACGAAGTATGAGTTCATGACTGTGAAATCATTAAATGGGAATTATTGTCGCAAGGCACATATAAATAATACTTTACCCTGCTTTTATTAAATATTTCCACAAAGTAGCATCAAACTATTAACCCATTACTTGCCAGTGAGGCATGGCATGGCCAGGTGGTTAGGGAGCTCGACATCACAATCTGCGGGTCAGGGGTTTGATTTCCCCATCCCACCAAACATTCTCGTCCTTTCAGCCATAGGGGCATTATAATGTGATGTTCAATCCCACTATTCATTGATAAAAGAATAACCCAAGAGTTGGTGGTGGGTGGTGATGACTAGCTGACTTCCCTCTTGTCTTTCACTGCTAAATTAGGGACGGCTAGCACAGATAGCCCTCATGTAGCTTTGCGCAAAATTCTGTTATCATGTTTGGGAGTTATTTCTTTATAGGTTTATGAGCCCCTCAGTCTGAAGGCTTTTAATTCTAAAAGCCAAGTTTTGAACCCATGATGGGCACAGCACAGATAGCCCATCATATAACCTTGTACTTAACAAACAAATAAAATATATATTTAGGAATCATTTCTATAAAATTGTTATAATATACAATGTATTTTACACAAATAACTTTTCAGTCATTCTTCCACGTGTGCATAAACACCACATAAATTTTGATGTACCTATTTTGGAACATTATACATTTTTGACAGTGTTATTGCATCCTAGTTTTGGCATTTATTTTTGGTTCTTATTAGAAATATTAACCATTAATAAAACTGGTTCTGAAGTTGTTGTATTACAGTTTAGCAATTAATGGATTAATGATTTATGCATTTTTAAATCATGTGGTTTAATGGATTGCTACAAGATAAGCATAGGTGCTAAAAAAAAAGAAACTAAGTGTTATCTTCATCTGCTCTTTGGATATTTTTTAGGGAAGTAAAACAGTGAACAACAACCTTTCATAATTATTGCTTATCATTACAATTTTACTAAAGCCTGGAATACTATACAACCTAAAAATTTGTAACATTTGTAAAGTTGTAATATTCTTTATAGTGAACTGCTTTGTTAGTGTCACAACCATTTTATTTCAAGTTTTGGAAAAACCACTGACAGAAAAAAATTAAAGGATGTTAACAATGGCAGATCTAACTCGATGAAGAAAATAACAGTGAAGTAATATTTACTCAACAGAAAACAGCACTGCATGTTAACTTTACAAGAAAACAAGAGTGAAGTAATTGTTATTTCAGGAGGTTATATTACATATATTAATGGTTGTTAACTTTACTGAAAGAACAAAAGTTAAGTAATTGTTGTTTAGGGAGGTTATATCACTGCTTGTTGACTTTACTGAAGGAACAAAAGTTAAGTAAATGTTGTTTAGGGAGGTTATATCACTGCTTGTTGACTTTACTGAAGGAACAAAAGTTAAGTGATTGTTATTTAGGGAGGTTATATCACTGCTTGTTGTCTTTACTGAAAGAACAAAAGTTAAGTGGTTGTTATTTAGGAAGGTTATATCACTGCTTGTTGACTTTACTGATAGAACAAAAGTTAAGTAAATGTTGTTTAGGGAGGTTATATCACTGCTTGTTGATTTTACTGAAAGAACAAAAGTTAAGTGATTGTTGTTTAGGGAGGTTATATGTATGGTAATATTAAAGTTTTATACTAAAAGAGCACACATACTGTAAATAAGGTACCCCTGGCCATCTTTAAACGAGAAAAGGAACTGGCAAGAAGTGTGGAATTTGATGGACTGTTCATATCAGAAGAACCAGCAGAGGATGACATTCGAAGTCATTGGGACAAGCTTGTGATAAGTACAAGGTTAGGATAAGTAAACATGATATTTAAATGTACATGTGCTGAATAATATGATTTATTGTGCCTAGACTACAAAGAAAAAACAATAAGAAAATGTTTTATTCATCCAAATTATATTTGTAGTTGTTCATTTGGAATATTTAGATGGTCATTGAAAATTTGTTTCTATATGTTGGATGATACTTCCATATCTATTGGGCTAGGTGTGGCCTAATGAAATGTTCTAGTAACAGTGAAAGTCTTAGCCAAATCATAAGATATTCTGCATCATGCTTACATGACTCTGCCATGTTTAACTTTTTTATTTTTCCTTGTTTTTAAGCAGTTTTCTTTATTAAGTATGGTTTAACACAATTTTTTTTTTCATTTTGACTCATTAACTTGAACTTATGGATTAAGTGAATTTTAATATTTATTTTTGCTTTTAGTTCATTTCCAGTGAACTATTGGGACAAGTTTGTCAAGAAGAGGGTATGTGTTCTTTGACTATTTGTATATTTCCAGTATATTAGATTTAGTAGTGGAATCAGTTTTTGTTTATTTTTTCTAAGAAGGCACTGCTAGAAAAAGATATTCCATTGTATTCAGATCCATTCATAATGAAACATGTCATGTATATTACAACTGCTTATTAAATTGTTAGCATAGATTAAAACTGATATATATTATTCTGCATTCAACTATAATGCATATTAGTTCTTCATTTAATGATATACAGCAGTTGATTAGCACATGTTTATAAAAACTTTTCATATATGTTATCATTATAAACTACTTCACTTACCAACTTAGAAAGTTGTTTCCTTTCTTGTTAAGCCTGGTCATTAGGGTACTCGACTCGCAACCTGAGGGTTGTGGGTTTGAATCCCATCACTGAACAGGCTCACACTTTCAGACATGGGGGCATTATAATGTGATGGTCAATCCCAAGAAGTGGCAGTGGGTGGTGTTGACTAGCTACCTTCCTTCTAGTCTATATCTTGAAAAATTAAGATGGCTAGCACAGGTTGCCATTGAGTTCAAAGTTCAACAAATAAACCTTTCTTCTTGTACTTTTATTAGATGCTTAGATTAACGAAAATGAACTTTCTTTTATGAAAGCAGTCACTGACTGAAATGTTTTCTTCTTTAAACATGAACAGGTTAGGGAGAAGTATAGTGAAACATATGACTACGATGCCATCAGTAACCTTCTTGGAATTGATAAAAGTGCATCTTTTACTCAAGATAAGGGATTGGGTGGATACTTCAGTTTGTAAGTTTCTTTTATTCTGGAAATTTTAGCTACTGTATCTTATTTTAATCTTTTGTATTGTCAAACATTATTTAATGTAAGTGTTCATTTAGACATAGGCTGTATGAATACTGCTTAAGAAACACAAAAGGTTTTTATATCTGTGTAATAATCTTTATTTTAATAAACTCTTTTTTTTTTTTTAATTGTTACCAACCCTCTTATGAGATTGGCAGACTCAACTGAAAATCTATTGTCAGTTACTAACTGATGAATTAAAATAATAGCATCAACTAGATGGCTTTAAATCTCCCATGTTACAATAGTGTTAAGTTTTTACAGTTATTCAATCAGAAATGACTTAGGTAAAGAAGTTTCAAAGCTTTTTCTGTATCATTAGTAAAGCATTAATCATAGAATCTCCAGTGGGGTCCATATCAGCATTTTAAACAGATTTTTTAAACTATGTATCAAAATACTTATGGGTCCATGACATTCTTGATTACAGGGCCTGTAATGACATAAAGAGTCACACAAAACTTTAAGCAAAAATAACATCAATATTGCAGTTAATTTCACTAATTACTAATGGGGTCCTCTATGTGTTTTATTCAGTAGATGAGTGATTTTACACAATGTTTTTGATAAAGTCTTTACACTGAGTGTTGTAACAAGTAAGAAAATAAAATTACTCAATATGATGTAATATGTAGTCCCCACTGGTAGTGAACACTATAAAAACAAGCCAGTAATTTGTGCATTCATAGTCTAGCACTTATTCATTTTCTAGCTGTCCATTACTGAACAGTCCCCCAGTGGGTCAGTAGTAAGTTTATGAACTTACAATACTGAAGTTCAGGGTTTAAGTTCCCGTAGTGGACAGAGTCCAGATAGCTCATTGTTTAGCTTTGTGCTAACAACAACAAAATTACTGAATAAAAATACTTTATATGAAACAAATTATCTAATTGCAAATTTGAAAGTTACCAAAAATTTGGCTGTAAAAGAGATTAGATATATTAAATTAACCATTTGAGTTTCATATGATTAATACAGAAAATACCTTCCAAACTAATAATATTCTACCTCTCTCTAATGGTTTCTGGTTTCTGTTACTTTTAGTATCACTGATGTTGACTGGAAATATCAGATATGGAAAGCTGGAGTTACTATTACTGATAATGTAAGTCATTGCTCTTAGGAGTTACATCTAATTGTTATATCTTAAATTTATTAATTGATTTTACAGTGAAGTTACTATTAGAAGTCATTTTCTTCCCCCAAATTATAGTAGTACAAGCATGTAATGCTTGTCTTCTGACTAAGCTCATTTCAGTCTTCTGTGAACAACAGTGTTCAAATGAGTCTTTTCTTCTGATTGTATAAAACAACAGATATTAAGGGTGTAATAAATGTTTTATGACCTGTGTTGTTACACGATCTTCAAACAATAGCAGCCATAATTGTAACTTAACGTTAATCATATTTTGACTAGTAATTCAAATGGCTTAATTGAACAAGGTTTTCACTAACTTTGGCATCTTTATGTATTTTATGTTATTTTCTTAACTTATTTCATAATTATACTTATATGAACAAAAGTTTTGAAGCATTGTTATTCTTTACTTGTTTTTAAATATTGTTTCATTAAATATTATTAGAACTGTATTGTTGTAATATATTCTATAGTTGTACAATTCTTTAGGATTGTTTATTATGAATAATGATATGTCCAGTCCAACTAACAATAATGAATTAATTTATTTCTTCAATGATGTTTGATACAGGTTATGTTCAATTTTAGGCCTAACTTCATATACAATTTTTGATTATTAACTGCAAGATATAAACCTAAATTAATTAGCATTGATGGATAATACATATAACTTATTGAGTAACTGAATAGCAGAATAAATGTGATAACTCTCACTACTAATACTGAATAACTCTTATGACAATGAAGTAACTGACTGGCACTAAACTGACTCATATTTATGTTGTACTCTTATTTCTACATAACCCAGGAATCTTATCCATTCTTATCTTCTGTGAACTTTCTAGATCTTGATGTCATCACAATGATGAGCTCTTTCTAGCAGTCATTTAAATTAAAACATTTAAAATATAGCTTACAACAATATGTTTATTCAAATCAAGTTGCTTTGAAAAGTTCTGTATTTATATAATTACGTTGCTGTCATCTAAGTACTAAATGCTGTCTAATATACTTCATTTAAGCTTTTATTCTTTTTTATTTTTCCAGTCTTTCCTCTACAATCTGTGGTATTTTGTTTTCTCTGTGATGGGTAATTTTAACTACTTCTTCTTTGCTGCACATCTTTTGGATGTGGCCGTGGGTTTCAAAACACTCCGTACCATCCTACAGTCTGTAACACACAATGGAAAGCAGGTGATGTTTGATAAAAGGCATTGAAAATATTTATGATTTAAAAAATGTTTTGTAGGATAACAATATGAAAATACATACTAGTAATTCATGACATTTTATCTATTGATTATTGTCTTTGTAGTGTGTATCAAGTGTAGTTTAAGTTCTGTACTCTGTGTAGACTTTTTGGTAACAAAAACGAATAGTTTTGGTTTTTAAGAATACAATCACAAACATCGTTCTTTGAGACCTGGAAAATTATTATTGGTCACACCTGCCTTACTAAATTTTCTAAGAATACAAGTATTTACTTTCAATTATTGATTAGTTGTAAAATGTAATGTAAACGTTTGAAATCTTCAAAACCAAAAAAGATAACTCACAATACTGCAATTTCAAAAGAAAAAATATGTTAATATATTTTAAAAGATATCAAAGTAATTAAACAAAAATAAAAGATTATAAAAATTATAATAACCATCAAATTTATGATATGTTTCAAGAATGAATATGAATTATTTATAATCTAAAGATTATGATAATTGTGAATAAATCTAATGACACCGAGAGAAATATAAAATTTAAATGATTTTGAGTAATAATATCAAATAAATTAATTGCATGTGCATCATGTCAGATTATATTGTATACTTTCTTCAGCTGGTGCTGACAGTGATGCTCCTAACAATCATTGTGTACATCTACACTGTCATAGCGTTCAACTTTTTCCGCAAGTTCTATGTTCAAGAGGAAGAAGACCAAGTTGACCAGAAGTGTCACAACATGCTGACTGTAAGTAGACTTATTCTTTCCTGATACAACCACTTCTTGTAATGGTCTAAAATAATATGCTGCTGCAACCAGGATTCAACACAAAAACAATTTATTAAACTGTAACAACACTTGGAATAAACTTTAGCACTTACCAAAAACTCAGTTAATAAACACGTGCCTGGCCAGGACTAATGTTAATCGACAATAAAACATAAATATCAATATTAAGTATATCAACTAATGAAATCAGGAAAAAGAACCAGAAAAAGAAAAACCTAATTAAAAAAACAACCACACAGTATTCCACAATTGGCCTCTGGAATGGGTTGCCTTTGGATGTTGCGTAGGCAGTAAATTTACCTGCGTTTAAGAGAAAGTTTGATAACTATATTAATGATAAGGACTGGCTTTAATATTTTTTTTTAATTTATTTATTTGATAGTTTAGTTTAGAGGATGGGACAGCCGAGATGGAACAGTAGGTTCCATGTTGTCCCTAAACATTATGTTATATTAAAATCACTTTTCCATATTAATAACAATATCAAGTGACAAACAGTAATAATTTCTCAAAATAAACGTGATCATCTAGAAGGTTCGTTAGTGTTTTAATGTAACAATTCATAGATAAACTAAACAATAGAAGGAATAATAAATGAACAGTAAACAAAACCATAACCAAAAGAAAATAGAATTCACTATCTCACATTCTAGTATGCACTGTATTTAATCAAAAGTAAAGTACAATCATTTCTAAATTCAGTGTGGGATATAGCTGAACTGCCGAGCAACTAACTAATTTTTTCTGCTTCTTTTTCAGTGCTTTGTCTTCCACTTATACAAAGGTGTTCGTGCAGGTGGTGGTATCGGTATGTATGACTTCAACCTCACCAATTGTTCATTTATTTAAGTTATTCAAATTTTAAAAAGTTAAGATGCTAAGTATAAAATAAAGTTTATTTTATATAGAAACAAACAGGCAGTCTTATATTTTTAATGTCTGTCTTCAGTCCAAGTATAATCTATACTCTTAAAATCTAAGTATATTAACAATCCTCTATTGCTAATTGCTATCTTGATGAATTACTGTTTCAAAACTCATTATAATTCTGAACTTGCACTATTAGGCTATGTGACTTAGTTATTAACAAAGCAGCTGTTTTAAGGTTCATCATATGTATGAACTCTTTGGTTAGTTTACTTTTTTTCAACCTTGCAGGTGATGAGATTGAACCTCCAGATGGTGATGATTATGAAGTTTATAGAATTGTGTTTGACATCACATTCTTCTTCTTTGTCATTGTAATCCTGCTGGCCATCATCCAAGGTAAAGGTTGCTTTCTTTAAATAGGGTATTAAACGTGCTTTATGTAAATAGCTCAGCATTAGTTCAAAATACCATAACTACACCCATAAAATTTTTTCTTATTATTTATCAACCACAGATTTATTATCAGTTAGAGATAAGACTATTTGAAGACAGCAAATATAAAAAATTTAAGAAACATTAAGGGATCAGTCATTGTTTTGCATAAATAAATTCATTTTTCTCTCTCTCTCTCTCTTTTGCCTCTAAGATTTAAACCTAGTTGTGGGTTCCAGTTTAGTAAAAACATCTTTCTTGTCTCTAAATTTAAACCCACTTGTGGGTTCCAATTTGGTAATAAGCATCTCTTACCTCTAGATTTAAACCCAGTTGTGGGTTCCAGTTTAGTAACAAAGTCTTTATTACCTTTAGGATTTGTATCTAATTATAGATTCAAATTTAGTAACACAGTAACATACAGTTCAACTTTCACATGTCAGTTTAAAGAATAAAACCAACTTTTCCTTGTTCTTCTCTTTAAGAGCTTAATTTTTAAACTTGTATTGAGATCTGTGACTCTCTTTTGTTCTTTAGGTTTGATTATTGATGCCTTTGGAGAGTTGAGAGACCAGCTGCAAAGTGTAGTAGATGATATGGAGGTAACATCATTAACTCTTCCAAACACCGGCAGTATTACAGTTAATATTATTTATGAATAAATGGTCAGAAGTGGACTAAACATGTTAGAGATTACCTTACTGAGAAGGGTTCAGAGAACCATTAAAAACAATACATTGTTTTGATTTACTCTTATTAATGTGTTTATCCCCCCTATCACATAATTAGAACTGTTTTCCTAAAATACATTTACATTTGTATCTTTGAAGGACATTTCGAGAGTTATAAACATTTAATAACATGTCAAAAACTAAAAATTTTTCTTAAACAAAACTAAGCTATAAAACCGAGCCTAAGAAGCCGTAGTTTACTAAACTGTTTTCTTGTGTTGATTGATGACTTTAATTTATATTTTTTTATTTCATTAATTTCTTTTTGAGCTATTACAAAATCATAAAGCATTCTCATTTTTTCCTTATGGTCAGTATTTCCAAAAGTTTCTTTTAATGATAATTTGTGTGTATGACAATGTTTTAAATATTTAAATAAACGACATCCATTTTCTTTTCACTTTGTGAAGATTATTGATTATTAGATGATTTACCATTAGATGGTTGTACTTTGTAGTAAAAATGTAGATTTGTGTGTTTTCTAAATGAAATAATTTTGTTTTCAGTCCAACTGTTTCATCTGTGGTATTGGAAAGGACTATTTTGATAAAGTACCCCATGGTTTTGACACCCATGTCCAAAAAGAACATAATCTTGCAAATTACATGTAAGTTTGAATTTCAAGTTAATTATTTCAATGCAGTTAGAATATTAACTCATCAGAACTGTGGTAATTATTTAACATCAGAGGTACAATTCATACCCATTGTCTTCAAATAGTAATTGCTGATAATAAAGTGCCTACCTTTATTGTAGTCACAAAAAATTAATGTGACTTTAAAAGTTTAATCATTTTTGTGCACGTGAAAAGCAATTAGTAACAAGGCTAGTTTGTTTAAGGCAAAACAAAGTATTTGTGGTATTGGTTGTTACTGAATGATTGCCCTCCTTGTGTCAGTAGTTCAGAATTATGGGTGAATAAATAAGAAGTCACAGGAGTCTTTGACTTGGCCATTTAATCAATGTATTCAGGCTGAAAATACCCCATAGGTACCTCAGCCATAATTTAAAATTATCACATTTACCTGATGAAGATTTAAGATAACTAGAGAAATTTTACTGGCATATTAGTTTTAATTATTCATTTAATTGATGAGAGAAATTTGGTTTGTTTTAATAACTAAAAACCTATTAATATTGCATAGAAGATCAAATAATGATACACTTTATTGCCATCTTCCAAAATAATACTCATGTGGAAAAATAAAAGACATCACTGGTTTCAGAAATCTCTTCTTTGGAATCCAACCATACTTAGTAATAAGTTAATAAAGTTTTTTTATGTTAAGAAAATTAGAGACTTTCAAGTTTTCAATGTATACAGGAGTTGGACGAAATAATGGAAATACAAACTTTTTTGCTTCAAATTTCATTGTCTCTAAGAGGGTAAAATATAGCCATGTGGTAATTGAACTATGCATTACATTATTCTATATCATTGAACTTCTCTGTATAGAAATAGAGCTTTGAAGTTCTAGAAATGTTAAGCTAAAAAGATCTGTCAGATTTCCAAAGAGGCATTCTTATAGGTTAAAGTCTAACTGGGTTCTCGGTTACACAAACACCTAAAATAATGAGTTTATACCAAGAAACAGTATGAAAAGCGATGTCAACATGAACATCAAAAAATAAAACTACATAAGAAAAAACATAATAGTTATCTAAAAACAAGTTAACAAATCGTGACCATTAACACAAGAAGTCGGGTGAAAACAACTACAGTATTAAAAGTATGGGCAGAACTTAACAATAGCCTAGAACAAACAATCTCTTTCAATACAACTCAAAGATAACTCTACAAAATGGGTTGCTATGGTAGGTTTGTCATTTTAAAAACTTCTAGTAGCACCAAGAAATGCAAAACCCCAGGTAAATGGTAGCAAGAACATAAAAATTGGATGTAAAGTCAATGGAAAAATGTAGTATGATCAAATGAATCATCTTTTACAATTTTCCCACCAAATAGGCATGTTTATATATAGTTAAAACTTAATGAAGTTGGCAACCCTGGATGTCCTGTGTCATCAGTTAACCATGATGGAGGTTCATTGATGATATGGTCATTTTTTGTTCGAATTGTCTGGGGCCTAAAATTTCACTGAAATGTAAAGTGACAACAAATGATTACTTAAACCTTATTACAGCCCAAACAGAGATGGCTTGTTTTTGGAAGACAATGAGCCAATTCATACTGCTAAGGTTCTTAAAGAAAAGCTTAGGTGCCTAACTTGGCCACCACATTCGCCAGATTTCAACATTATTGAGCCTTTATGGTCAGTTCTTAAAACCAACTATCAAAACAGAATTCCACCATCACTTCAACAATTAGAAGCTTTGGTCAATGAATGATCAAAAAATTTTGTGATGTACAACACTTTGTTTCATCAATTCCATGTTGTATTAATGCTGTATTTTCTGCTTGTGGTGGACCAATTTCATATTAATAAATGTAGAAACTAAAAGTTGTTTCTACTATTCTGACCAACCTATATACATGGTCAAGATGCACAAACCTAAAGATCAGATTAGAATTGTAGCATTTGTTAGTATCTTCACTAATGTAACATTAAACGTATTTTAACAGTTCACATCATTTATTTTTTACAGGTTCTTCTTAATGCATCTGATCAATAAACCCGATACTGAATATACAGGTCAGGTATGTAAACTTTCATTTTTTAAACTGTGACATCTTTTAATAGGTCAAATACTGCAAGTCAGAGTAAGGTAGGTAAATTGTATGAAATTAAATATGACATTAAAAAACAACAAAATTAGTTATCATCACAACACCTTTAGTTGACATTTCTATTAATACAACAGTGGTGAGAGAAATGAGGTGTGTAACTTTTCCTTTTTGGTTCATTAACAAGGGTTTAACAAACAGATTGGACTGGGCATGGCCTAGTGGTTAGATTGTGAAGCTGAGAGCCCATGGTTTGCATCCCATATGAAAAATCACACTATTCACTTTGGTGCATTATAAGAGTGGCAATCAAATCCAACTGTTTGACAGTAGAAGAGTAGCTCATGAGTTGGAAGCACTGTTGGCTAACTGCCTTCTCTCTAGTCTATCAGCTCAAAACTGTGGTTGGTTAGTACAAGTAACCCCTTGCGAAGGTTTGTGCAATTATCCAAACAATACAATAAACTGGGCATTGGGCAAGTTTGTATAGTAGGTAAATGTTGATCTAATTGTCATGAAAAGATCTGATTCAATACATATTTACAAATGAAATGGTAAAATTATTTTGTCATGAATAACAAGTCAAGTTAGTCATAAATTATAACAAAACTTGTCAGTAACCAAATCACAACACAGGCTTTGTACATCAAGTAGGTCAATTCTTCAAGCTAACTGATTTATATATATTTGTCGTGTATTAAGTTACTGTGTTTTTTGCATCATTAATTCTGTTTGCACAATAAACTGATGCAATTCATCTGAGTGTAGCCAAAACTAGATTAATTTTTATAACACTAAAATTGAAACTGTAATTAGACAAAGTGTTACTCATGTAAATAGTAATTTATGTGAATATATTTCCATATTAGACAGGTGAATATAATGACTGAGGTTAGTAATGTCCAATCTCCTTAATTCAAATTAAGTATATAAATGTGCAATATAACCAGTACATCTTTAGCCAGTACCTTTTTTTCCTATATTTTTAATTTACGATGAAATTAATGAAATAGCTACTGTTACCTGGTGTAATTATACCTTTGATTGGCCATTGTTATGATTTTTCTGGTGGCACATGCAGTTTTTGGTCAAATTTTGAATGTCCCACCATACTGGTAAAACTGTGAAAAGAAAAATAAATTTGAGGCACAAATGGTGGATAGAGTTTTTGAGATTGTGAAAAAAAACAAAGTCATTTATGTTGAAGTTTGTGAAGAAGCCACTTCCCTAGTGGAAAGTTGCACAGTTTCCAAACATTCTAAAGAAGGTCTTAATCAATGAGTGAAATAAGAAAAGGTAGTTTGAGAAGTTTTTGAAAGAAAACTTCAAACTCACTGACAAAAATTTAAAACTAGAAAACGGACATTTTCTATACTTATGGTAACTTCCTGTAACATTTCTGGTGCATCGTATTTTCATGGTCATCACTTACAAGTGATACTTTCTACCTTGAGAGTAGTCATTCCAGAGTATAATCATACCCTGTAACAGTAGCCACAGTCTAAAAGTAAACTGTTCTAGTTGAAAGTGTGCACTGATTTTATCCAACGAATGTCACATAAGTATTTGTCGTAAATGTACTTTTCTGAACTGTATATAATGCAACTTAACACTGGAAAGTTAAATACAGATTTTCTCCTTACAAACTAAAATGTCATCAGTAACGTGAACCTAATATTTAAATATTTTCTAACATAACTACAGTGTCTGGTATTTAAACTTGATAATGACTTACAAAGTTCCAAACTAACAAACCCTTAGATTTGTGTCTTAGCTGTATGTTAAAAAGTCGAAATTTTATTCATAATCTGCTGGTCATTACAGGAAACGTATGTTTGGGAGTTATACCAGAAAAGATGCTGGGATTTCTTCCCTGTTGGTGATTGTTTCCGCAAGCAATATGAAGATGAGTTAATGGGAGGGGCCGGCTGATCAGTTTTGTACCATCCAATACTTCTCTGTCAGTTCACTTTCATTCAGTCCTACTTATCTCAGGATCACAGTATACACTCTTTTCCTAGCTTGTAAATTAGCATAAAAATATGCTTACTGCTTGTGTAAGAAAAAAAATTCAAAAGTTAAGGTTCCTGTTCCAAGAACCTAACCTTTCCCCCCCTCTTCACTTTCACCGTGTAATATTTTCTACAGCCCTCCAGTTTTTCTTTCTTCGAACAATTTGGATTGTGTTATCATTAAACTTGATTTAGAAGTGTGTTCCAACAGGAAGAGATAAGTATTCCATGAAATTAAATGAACAAAAGTGCCAAAATCAGAGAAGATATTGTGAATGTTTTATTGATTTTTGTGTAAATGAGTTCTTTGAATGACCTGTTTTCTTCAGATCTTTTCTTTAAATTCTTTTTTTTTTTGGTTATATATGAAATACCTGATAATTTGTTGTGTATTAAGATGAGGCTTATATTAACAACGTAAGATTGTTAAACATGTGCATATTGTAAATTCTTTATTACTTACACCAAGAAGTGACTTTTACACTCTTGACTAAAAAATAAATCAGAACAATCTTTGCCTTAATATTATTATTCAGCAAGTTTCAACTGCTTCTATAGTATTTTGACACAAATTATATTGTCTGCCATGGTAGGAATGTTTCCATGCACATTTTTCTTATTCAGGTAGTAAAAAAACAAAACAAAAATACTGTAGTTTGTGTTTGCCTTTACCTTTATACAAACAATTCACTGAAAGTGAATAATAATAAAATAAACCTACCTTCTACTTTTGTTTCTATATTTTTGGTTGTTTTACAAAGCCAGTATGAACATACAAACTTTACCTTCAATGTATAAATGTAACAACCCTAATGCTAATTTTTATGAATTTACAAAATGACTTCAAGCATGTATATAATCTAAGAACACTTATCTTCTTATGGACATAATATAATTGTTTTACACACAAATATCCTTCAACTTTCAAAATTTCAAGTGCAGCACATTGTTCTAGTGGCCCAAAATCTCCACCCCCCCGAAGACTACCACTTCAACAAGTTCAGGCACACCTAGTAAAAGTCAGCCTAATTTTCATTCCTATAAAAATTCAGTTTTGGATGGTTCTACAGTGTTTTTTACCGTATTTTAAATAAGGAAGGTTCCAACTTCATAGTTAATTCTTCTCATGTAAAGATATCAGTGTAACTTACAAACCACCTACTATCATAAAACATTAGTGGACTACAAACCTTCACACACCACTAGTCAAACTACTCCATACCCCACAGACTACAAGTTGTTCTACATATAAAACCTCATATCGTAAGACATCAGTGGACTACAAACCCCACACACCACTAGTCAAACTACTCCATACCCCACAGACTACAAGTTGTTCTACATATAAAACCGCATATTGTAAGATGTCAGTGTAGACTACAAACCCCCTCATACCACTAGTCAAACTACTCCATACCCCACAGACTACAAGTTGTTTTCTATGAAACCTCATATTGTAAAATCTCAGAGTAGACTAC